ACAGACAACCTCTCGTCAATATGCGTTTTCTGCATTGCATAGCTGCAAAAAACGCATAAAAAGATAAACAGATAGGAGGATAACACAGATCAAAGGACATCACGACTGGTAGCTAATAAATACAACCATGGTAAGATTAACAGTTCTGTCGACGAGGGAATGCATGCTTAAACAAAAAAATCAGCCTGAAAAGTGAGGGGACATACTTGAAGCATCCGATCATCAAGCTGGGCAAGCGGTGAAGATAGGCATCGTGCTATACAGCGATAAATATTCGTTAACGAATCAACCCACATGGACGGCGTGATTCGGCCAAGGAACTGAAGTAGAACGCGCAATGCAAGGGCCTGTACATTGCCATCGTGCTGCTTATCGATAGCCTACAAAAAAAAAGTTTTTTTCCCGAAAACAAAAAAAAAAGAAAGAATGAAAAAATAAATGAAACAGTTTCTCAAACTATTCTTATTTTCTTATTTTTAATGCATTCATTAACTTCGGGTTGCCCTTGCTATTTCGGATCGTCACTTACTGCTTAACATTACATGTCAGGGTGTTGAATCAGGGCCTTAGAGAGCTAAGTGAATTATGAAAATGAAGAATTACGACGTTTTTATCCAGTAATTCATTAAGAGCTCAGCTCAGCGCTGTCCAGTTTAGATTTGCACCGTAATGATATGGTATGCGGTGACTGATGAAATCAGAACAGTAAGTGTAACTGCCATTACGGAGATAGCAATGAAGCATCCCTTTCAGACCATATAAATATAATAGAAGTACAATACAAATAAAATAAAACTTTAATTTAGATCAGCAGCATTACAGGATGTCAATGTGATCGTGCAAGAAAGTAAAATCCGATGGGCATGTTGCTCGTGTAGAGCGAGCAAAAGATGGCGCGCAGGAGAAGCAAAGAGCAATCCAGAAACGTGCAGCTGTTTGATCCATGACCTGTCCTGCCCTTTGTGATAAGTATTTAAGCTTGCAAAATTGTTGTAAGATTCAGTGTATGTTCAGCGTTATCGTCCAGTGCGTCTTCGGTGTTGTCGTGTATCCCCCCAGTGTTCCGCGTCACCGCCCCCGTGTTTTCAGCATTCAGGATCGTGGGTATTCAGTGTGCCCCGCGTTTCGCCTCCAGCGGTCCATTTCAGCAGTATCTAGTTGCATTCCAGTTATCGGCACCTTGTCTGCAGCGGCTTTGGCTGCAAGCGCTCGATTTAATCCCGTCGCCCCACCGAATCACGTGTAATCTTGTATCAGTATTGATAAAGTTTACGCCAATCTGTCCACTACACGCCACAGTACATCAGCAGTCATCCAATTTCTCTTCCGAAGCTCGTCATAACAGTCGCCTCGTTGTCGTCCTCGTAACATTCGTCTTGCAGACAACCAGCGGAAACAGCCTACAGTAAGAAGCAGATGCGAAAAGGCAGCTCGGAAGAAACGGGGCACATGTACCAGACGACAGGTTCTAAAAACTGAAGGTAAACGCAGCGTAGGGCTGAGAGTCTAGGGTATAACTCCAGTTGCCATGTACAAGCATCTTAGTAGCATCACCGACAAGAGATCCCTAGACCTGCTGCCCAAGCAATTCTGGAAACAATTTCAAAACGACCCTTATATTTCGATTCCAAGTCTAGCCAACCAAACAAATTCTTTGACTTTGACCAACCAAACGACCCTTAATCTTTGCTGTCATTACTTACTTAAACTACCAGTTCCCAAGAATTCAACATTCATTTCCAATTCAATTTTCCCCGCCGGTAAGAATCTCACTGTGATCCAAAAGGAGTAAAATCCGAAATGAGGTGTTGATGCTCAACACATCCAGAGGACATCTTGCATTTAACGCTCTATCAAATGCTTCAATTGGGTTTTTTTGGGATTATCACTGAGTGGTCGATCTCTTTAGGAGATAAAACGAACGTCAGGATCGCGCCAACAAGCTGATCGCCAGGTGAAGCAGTACCGGTCAGAGTAGCTGGAAAAGTTAGCAACAACGCAGCTAGGGGAAATATAAACCATGAATAATAGCTGGCCCAAATATAAATATCAATTAAGGTAAAACAAATTACCAGTCCTAGCTAATTAATGCTAAGCAATCGAAAACCAAAAACAAATAAAAATGACCAAAACCGTTGCCCGTGTGAAGAAGCGTTTTTCGCATAGTTCCCCGCAGTTTATGTTTGCTACCGGCACTGGCTTTTTTGGCAAATGCTTCTCGCTAAACAAATTAAGACTGGCCGCGAGAACTGCCAGAAAACACCCCCCAAAAATTTCAGCTTTCTAGGTTTTGAATCGCTATTTTGAAAACTCAGTGCTTATTCAAAATTATCAAAAAATTTCTGAAAAAAAAGCAAGAAAAGGGAGACAGATGACCTGTGCGAACAGAAATATGAACAGATTTTGTGAGCCAAGCGATAGTAAGCAATCATCCAGGCTGAATTCCTGATGACGCATCACCATATGGCACTTCCAGTTCATCGAAAACCTCTCTGGAGGTGCCGGATGGCCATGTGCATGCGTCTCGTCAACAGCACCCACACTGCTCCTCGGTGCATCGTATTGCAAGTGAACATATGCCATCGAATCTCTGAAATTTTTTTTTTTATGGTGAAGCCCGTCAAAGCAAAAATTAAATGTTTTTATTGAAGCGACTAACAGAACTAATTAAAATTTAAATTTAATCTAAACCAATTATAGTTACCACAATCGTCGTACTGACGAAGTCCAGTTGTGGCAATGGCAAGAAATGTATACGACTTAATGGATCGAAACATTTTTTATCATTACAGTGATTTTATTAAAATAATTTCACCACTTTTACTAACTTCTTAATTCTTATATTGAATTTTCTCTTTGATTCTGCTTCCCATTTCAATGCGCCTTTCTACTACTTTTGAACCTTCCCAGCATATTTCTAAATTTTTAGAGGTATCAATCCCCGAATAACTTGGATTTGGAACAACCAGCTTTTGAAATAGCTAATTTTTAGTTATAAAAGGATATTCAAAATTTCACAACAAAGTCAATTTGAATCTTTAAACAGATTTACAATTAAACCTCCAGTCATTTTAATCCCTTTACTATCATTTCTTTCCAAATATTCATGCAAGAAAATATAAATAGTAATGCACACCAGACTAGCCGATACGGTCATGCGTTTTGTGTAATTCAGTCCATTGAACGATTCCCTATTAATGATTTTCACTGCCCTGTTGGAAAATAGTTAAAAATATCTTCCCGGGTGAATATCGGGTGAATATGAATATCTTCCCGTGATTTCCGACTTAATAGTTTACCCGCCAAAATTTTCACTAGCCCGTTGGTGATACCCGAGAGCGCGGGAACGATAAATTTGAATGGAGAAGGTTGAGCGTGGGGAGGGGGTCATTACCCTAAAATTTCAGCCTCCTAGACTCCGTGGTTCCCGAGATATTAATTTACCCA